ATCTAAAGAGCTATTTCAATAGATTCATCAAATACTACACTAAAAGTAGCCATATAAAAAGTAAGCCCTATATAATAAATGAATGAAAGTTTGAGACATGGATAAACAATTAGCATTAGTTTCACTGTCACCACATCAGGTATTCAGACGCTATTCCAAGAACTGTCACCTTCCTTTAAAACATTTTAACTACCAATATCATAATAATTGCCTGAAAAAAAAAACTCTCAAATAGATTTGAGATTCATTTACCATTATACTTTATTTAAATGGTCTCCCATGGTCTTACAAAAATAGCTGAGGCAACAGCAGTGCAGATACATTAAAATAGAACTTGAGGGTTGAAAAAATTATCACCATTCTTTTTTTGTAAAATCATCAATATGCTGATAATTTTTATTTAAAAGACATTCATTTCCATATCTCTTATCTGGATGATAAAATTTGAGAGGAATTTCTGGCTACTGGTCCTAAAACTATCATGTGGCATAAATAAATCCAACCACTGCAAAATCATGGGATTATTGATCTGTTTCATTCTTAGGAAAGAAAACTTCTTTCCTACCTTTATTTTAAAAAATCATGTTTGTCTGGCATTGTATGCTTGCATTTGGGTTTGACATATGAAGCTTGAATTCAGTCGGCAAAAACAGGAAATACTCCTCAGACAGCACTTAAAGTTTTGACGAACATTTATTTCCTTTTCATCTAAGTTGAACCAAACAGAAATTATAGATAATAGTACAGGCAAATTGTGTAGTGTGTAGTGGCAGATCCAGTGTTATTGTCAAGGAACACATCGTCAATGGCCACTACTGCTAGCCACTAGATGGTATTAATTCTTGTGGCTTACAACCAGTGAAAAGAAATAATATGGCACATACTGTTATGGAAGCTCCCAAACAAAAGGATACCATAGAGACAAAAATACCCCAATATAGTACTCTAGTTTATAACTGAGCCATTAAAGCACAAACAGAACACATTTGATTTATTATGAAAGGCAATATATATAAAATAAAATAAAATAATATACCAGCTTAAATAACTTCCACAGTCAAAAGTGTTCAAGAAAAAAAATCTATTTTTAGAACTCATTCATATAAAGCAATTGTTGGCCTGAAAAATGAGCATGTCGTTTTAAATGTAACTCAATGTGATTCTCTACTATGACAAACAGGCATACTACAGCAAAAGAAAGCATGGAGTACTTTCTTCCTAAATGTAGCACTCTCTCCTGGGATCTCAAATATCTATACAATACTAAGTAATTTTCTTAATATATTTGACAGGCTAAAGATGTCACAAAGAAAGTCATTTTTAAGGACAACAACTGCTGTATTTGTTTAATGCTTAATACTAACACTCAAAATGATGTATTTGAATTGTACACATTTTACAAATGCTTATAATCACTACGAAGATTTACAAACCCCTATACACTATAGTGATTATTGAACACTCAGTAAAAACATCCTATGTATTTAACTAATTTTGGAAAGGAAAAAACCATAAATATATGTATATATATATATTCACGTATATATATATATATATACATATACATATGATGCAAATATATGGTATATATCATATGTATATATATATATACACACATATAGATTGCCACTTAGAAAACAGGCAAATACTTGCTGTTCCCTTTCTTTCTGGATTTATTAGCATTTATTTTTTATTTTTAATCCCTGTTTCTCCAAGATGATTAATTATTCAGCAATGAACACAGAAGAAAAATGGCAATGCAAAATGTCAGACATGAAAAAGACCTCATAAATCATGAAGTAAAATCCCTTGAAATTGTTACCTTCTAATGACTCAGAGACTCTAGTTCCAAACTTTCCTTACCCCATGGAGCTCATTCTATTTGCAGTTCTTCTCCTTCAACAGAGAATAACACAAAAGGGCTCTAAAGAACAGAACACTGACTAGATGCTGGTATCCCTTTGGAACTAGGATGAGTGATTCTGATCCTTTATCAACTTTGTGATTATAGAAAACACGACTGTTCTTCACCAAGGTTAGTTCTACATGAGACAAAGTGAACACTTAATTCCTCCAAATCTTGCCGATGCCTAACTATGTACCCCTCATGAGTTGAAGAAAAAGGGGGGGATTTATGATCCATCCAATTGTAATTTTCCAATCTTGAGCATTTCTCAAAAGAGATTCTGAATTCGAATTCTAACCCCAGACAGAACAAAAAACTAGTAATGCTTGTTAGGTTTCAGATTCTCAAGGATAGAGCAATATAGCTTGCTTTTTTGTGTTTTGAAATGGCCCATGAAGATTTTCTTGAAGTATACTCTGTGTGTGTGTACATGTGCGCTCACATGTTACATGTCAAGAGAGAAAGAAGAGGGAAACTGAGAAGATGAATGCTATGGGACATAGAATTTCACCCTGGAATCTCCCCTCTCTCTCTCCTTCTACTTTCCTAGATCTCTAAAACTACTACCCTAAACAGGTTGGTACAAGATAAATGATATATGAATGTACATATGTATACGTGTATATGTACATATAATTTAGTGTTCTTCCTAAATTTGGACTTGAGCCCTCACATTTTTTATCACATTTCCTTCAAATCAACATTTTTATAACCTGCTTTTGGGTTGAAGTTACTTTCCCCAAATTGCTTTTATCATTTTATAGAAAATGTATTTTTTGGTTAATAGTCATCTTAGTCAAACAGCTTGCATGGAGCACTTAATTCCTACACACTTCTGAATTTGCACTATCTCCCAGCCAGCTCAATGGACACCACTAAAGCCATCTCCAGCTATGTGGCACAAGACTTTTTTTTTTATACCAATCTAAAACAACTGATTACCTCCACTGTGATCTTGAAAGTTATATATGCAGTGAAGATTATTCTTAATGGAAACCATCATGTCCTTGAAGAGTGGACATTCCAGTATGGTCATATTGAACTAATAGATCCTAAAAATCAACCACAAAAAGATGACTCATGTCATATGCAAACGGTGTTTTGATCAGTCCTATTGCTTCAGTTACAAAGTATTTAGTTCACAAGCAGCATCATTGTTAGTATCATTAACTGCTTGTCATGTACTGATATTGAAATGCTAACTACTTGTGTCATATCTGCCTTACTTCTTTTTTTAACTTAGATGTAGGAGGAAATCTTGCTTCCCCTTCTCATGTGCTAATGGAAGAATATTTTCAGGAAATCCTGCTTTATTGATTTATTTGCTCACTCTGAGTGTTTCAGACATAAGCCTTGCTAAGGAATCTGATCCGTGTTTATGGTTTTATTTCTCCAAATGGGCAGGTTTTTACTAAAATAGAGGTTTTTTAAAAAAAATAACTTACAGCATAAGCTGTTTTCAATTACTATGGTGGGCAGCTATGACCTCCGGTGGATTCTTGGGTAAATAGCAAGTGGCTTTTTCACAGGATGTCAGTTTTTCATATATTTGTATTTCTTAGATCTTTTGAAATTTCGGGCTTATCTGACAGAATTTTTATACTTCTTTGAAATGTTTATGTATTTATTAATTTTAGAATGAAACTATGAGCCATTACAAGTTATCAATACTTTATCTTATTTATATAGACCATAAAATAACTTTGGAAATTGAAATATTTAAATTTAACACCCAAATAAACATCCATACTTGTTTTTATGTGTAATCCACTTGCTTTCCCTTTCTATTTCAATGAAGAATTTAAAAAAATTCATATTTTAGAAAATTAACTGCTAACGACATTAAAAATAAAACAGGAAAGACATCAAGAAATAAATATTCTCAAAAATACACATTTGGGTAGGATTTATAAGAAAAATGAAAGGTAAAAATGCTGTGAAAAATCTCAGTAGTAAAATGAACTCATGAAACAATTTTCCTGTTAATATAAAAAAAAGAGAAGAAAATTTGTTATCTCAGAACAAAATGCTTTAATTTTTTCTTCACGAACAAAGACTTATGCTTCCAGAGTATCGTTAAGGTTAGGAAGATTCTTTCAAAAACATAAAAGTTTAAGTTTTAATAGAGCTTCAGGACTGCAATATCTTTGTTTTTGACTTATGAGGTCATAAAGTATCTATAAACATATTGCCTACATCTTAAAGCATGGCTTCAACATTAATATTTTAAAATTTCAGTTAGATCTTTCAAACTAGCTACATCTTATAATCTGCATCCAAATCTTTCCTAGACAGCGGCTTGTTAGGAGAAAGAAATTTGTGACAATATACTTGTGTGTACCACAAGAGGGCAGCAAAAATCTTTTAGTTAGACTTCTAATTGTAATTCCATCTTTTGAGATTCTCTTTGATGTCTTTCTGAAAAAGATAACATGTTGGCTTCCTTCCTTCCACACTGGAGTGAAATTTAAAGGATTTATTTTCTTTATAAAACAGAGTGTTGCCACCCTATGGTTTAGTAAATGTTTTATGAGGGGCACAAGCCTCAGAGCGACATTTTCTTTCATGGTTTACAATAATCACAACAGATCTGTTAATTAAAACAACATAAATAAAACAATTCCTAAAACGTACAGAAAAGTTCACATGACAAATGTTAAAACATCTGATATTCTGCATATTTTACATCAAGGCAGAAAGGAAGAAGAATTCAGAAAGATTAAAACATTTAATTGTGTATTTTTCATGATTATGAAATTCTCCAATTTTTCATCAATATTCTAATTAAATAAGTCTTCCAAGAGTAAAGTAATAATTTCCATGGAAAAGAAAATCAAGCACAAAACTGAAGCTATGTCACTTTTTGATAAATATAAGGTGATGCCATTAAACGATGCACTTGTTTAAAATTAGTTATTATGAGGTTTATACAGTCAAATGAACATGCAGAATAATTTATCATAACAACCTTATAGTCATTTCAATACTTCAGAAATCTCTTTAAGCAGTGGAAGGAATTTGGATGCTTTTTCATTCTTGTTTTTCTTTTCTCTGTTTTAGGTCTCTGTTATAGCACAGTAGAAGGCTGCACCCATCATGAGTGCATGGTGTGCCTTGGCAGGCGATAGCGCTCAGATTTGGAGCGGAGCTTCTTTTCCTGTGGGTTGGCATACTTCCATTTGGAAGGTGACATTTTAAGTTTTTTCCTCTTCTTGTCTGTGCACCATACCTTTTCACAGTATTCTTCCACTCTCTGGAAGTTGCTATAACCAATCAGCTGTAAGAATTCCTTGTACCATGGTTTTGTTCCTTGCGGGGTATTGCTTTGGGCGGGACAAGGCATCCTGTGTGGCCCGTCCTCCTCATAGTCTTTATTAAACATTTCCTCTACTCTCTCCTCTTCGACGACCTCCAAGGTGATTTTGCGGACTGTGTGGACAAAACTATGCTCTACTGTCTGGCAAAAATAGGTCCCAGCATCGGATTTGCGTACCCTGAGGAAGAGTAAACCCAGGTCCATTTTAACCACTCTGTCATCTGTCTTCACCTGTAAGAACAAAAGAGTAAACGGTAACTAGAGTATTATACAGTAGGGAAAAACACTCTCCAACCTAACAACCTTTTCTACTACCTACCTTTTTTCCCTTTTCATTATCACATCATGCAGTTACAAGGGCGACATATACAAGTATGCAAAACAAGTCAGTTGTATGTCTGTGAGTGTCCTAAACGTATTTACATTGGAGACCATGTTACATGGCCTTGAGGTCATTTCACATGAATATTTTAAAGAGCAGAGAGAGCTTTCTCCCTAATGCATTCAATTAAACATTAAAAAAATACTCCAATTCAGTATAGCACTCAAAGAGTGAAGTAAAGGTTTGTTACATTTATTATTTAACTTCTACTTTTCAGTGGTTAGAACAAATAACATTTATTGCCATCTTTCAAGGGTTTCTTAGGCTTTTCAAATCATAATGGTCAATTTTCCACAAAGTTCTCTGTTTAAATGCTGGGCTCTTTTCATCCATTCTTCTTACAAAAAAGTCCCATTAATTAATTAATTCAATGAGCATTCCTGAGATTTCTACAAGGGCATTCATTAACAGATTAAAAAATAGAATGAAATTCAGATTCTACTCTAATGCACCCTATAGTTTACTAAATATTCAATCTTAGGATACATTCAGTGTTCAAGTGTCTCGTTTTTATGTTTTGGTTGTAATAAATTATGCATATTATTTTTGTAAATAATAGCTATAATTCAGGGAACTAAGAATACAATAAGCCTTTTAAGGCAAAGCTTGTATTTTCTCACCAATAGTTGTACTACTGAATACACAATTTGAAATTAAGCAGATGGAGATTCAAATATCAGCACCACCACCTCTAATTGTGTGATATAGGATATTCATAAAAGTGGAAATAATCCAATAACTTGCAAAACTACTGTGAAGATTAAGTAAAATTAGGTAAGTATGGATACTTTATGCTGTGTTACTCCTGTTATTTTTCCTGTATACATTCTTCTAGCTAAAGACAAGCTGATGTGCTTCATGTGGCCTAGGGTCTTATGGTATGGTAGAAATGTAACTCACAGTATGCTGACAGACTTTCCCTTCGAGGATAAAAAAACAAAAGCGATTTTCACCTTGTCTGTATAAAAGGAGTCATAGAGGCAACAGTTACAATCACGTGGCAGGGCAGTGACGGCCACTAAGGACCAGCATGCTTTGTCCCATGGTTAGGCCTGGCAGGACTGCTGGGCTCAGCTCTTCGCAGTCTTGATCAAACTGACATGGGAGAAGCTGCATTGTGTTCTGCTGATAGGCTGTGCTGAAAAAATCCCCACTCTGCCCAGCAACTGATTCTTGAGGGATTTTATGTCACATTACTCTCTGTCACGTCACTGCAAGCCCAGCCTCTGTGCAACATCCTTTTCTACTTCTGATCTTCTCAATAGATTCCTCTTCCATTGCTGGCCTTCTCTATAAATTCATCATCTTTTGTAAATTGCAACCACATCACACCTCTGATGATACTGACTCTGATGCACAACCTGCATTGTTTTAAAATTTGTGGCCAGATTCTATATAGATGGACCTGCTTCCTTTGTGTGTGTGTGTGTGTGTGTGTGTGTGTGTGTGAACACCGTAACACCGCCCTGATGTACTCCCTCATTCTGTTTTCTTCTGCATATTTCTGTCTAAGACAAAATCCTTCATTCCTACTCATCTTGCCTTTTATTTCCATACATTTGGTAACATTTCTTTTTTTTTAATTTTTGATAACATTTCTTTGTTGTTTCAATCAGTTTTCCTAAGATGGTACATCTCATACATAATTCATTGCTTTCTTCTATTAATTAAAAAGCACTGACTTAGATATTACTTCACTATCTGTAATTCATTGCTTATGTACTCAAACTGCTTCCTTTGCTTACTGACATTGTAGTTCTGACAGCTACATCATTCTTCTTCTAGTCCCCCATCCTTAACTGTCAGCATTTTACACTTCTCTTCATTATATGCTCACCGCCTACACATCACAAATTCTTACCAACGTTTCTTCAGTAGTGACCCAGAAAAATAGCCTTCTTCTTCATTATTTTTGCCACAATGTTAGAGTCCATTCCTCATGACTGTTTCTTTGACCTTGTCTCATAACAAATCCCTGAATCTTCCTTCTCTCTTTCTGTCATGCTCAGCTTGATTCAGTTTTAAGACTCTGCTGTTGTCTCTGTCCAGAGAGACTTTTTAATGCTGGTTACTTCTCATCCTGAGTGACTAAAGTATTGTCTTGTCAAACAGGCCTCCTTCATACCTCCCTCTCATATTACCATATTTCACTTGTTAAATTTTACACACTTTAGCATGCAATATTGCAAGCAAATATCTAACAATAGTCATTTCAGCTGATTTTATTTAAAAAAAATGGGTAGCAATCTAGCATTCTTTAAAATCTTTCCTTTGCTCTTGAATTGCAAACTCACTCAGATCACTATTGCTTATACAAGCAGATGAAAATTGTTCGCTTATGTGGATCCTGCCTTCTAAATCTAGACACCCCACCCCCGCAACAGTGTGGTGTTTCTCAGACTAGGGTTGGTGAAACAGGTGCATTTCTGGAGATTAGAGTTTTCTATAAGACTTTCTTAAGTTACTGTGTTTACTGACACAGTAATTAATAAAATGAATAAACTATATTGGGGATCACATGGAAGATCAACCTTAGTGTTAGTATTTATGTTTACCACAACTTCCGAACAATTTTCGAAGCCTTAATGTTTCCCAGATGCTAAGAAGAACAAAGATGGATTTAGTCTGTAAATGATATAGTCTGACCAAATGGAAATCAAACAGCATCTCTGTGTGCTAATATGAATAAAAATTTTTGAAGTCACTTGAATAAAGTGTTTGAAATGTTGAGTCATCACATGCTATAGGAGGAAAGCTTCATAAACACACATATATGTTTCATATGTGTTCCATATATGTATTCATATTAGGTTTATGGAGATAATTGTTTCGGTGAAAAAAATCATAACTTTAAATAGGCATTTTAATGATGATTGGGTTACATTTTATTTGTGTATTTATTTTGGTTTTATATTTGAATAAATGCTATAAGCATAAGAATGCATGTACTGTTTCATTCTTGTAAATATTGAATGATTATTTTGAGATGCATCATGTTACTATCCCAAGAAGGCATTTTACTTCTAAAGGCAGGTGGTGAGGTGACCAGTGTATAATTAGAACCAAATCTCCCTTTCAATATTTCTTCTGCTGTCACCCCTGCACTACTACTTGATTTCCTTCTTCTAAGTCTTATCCCGAACTTATTCTTTCTTTCCTTTCCTTGGTGAACTCTTTTCTACTGTCTACTATTCATTTGTCTTATTTCATTCTGTACCTAAACTTTCATTTCCTTTGTAACTACTTCCCTTATAGCCGATGAAGAATTTTTGCTTCTTATTGCAGTGCAATATCACTCATGTTTGTAGCAAACAAATTGTTATTTATATTATTTATAATTTCTTTCCATGAAACTTTTGTCTCATTAATCATAAGCTTCTTTTTCTTTTATCTTTTTTTTGTTGTGGTACTGGGATTGAACCCAGGGTCTTGTGCTTCCTAGGAAGCCACTTTACAACTTGAGCCATGCCCCAGCCTCAACCATAAGTTTCTCAAGGGCAAAGGCCCATTTCCTTATATTCCTGAATTACTCCATATATGAATTCAAGAACACAGTGAAGAAAGAGAGCATATTAATTTGTTCATAGGCTGCATGGGAATGGGCTGCATGAATAAGAATGTATTCAAAAGTTATTCACACTTTCCAGGTATGTCTAAAAATAATCTGAATAAGGAGGAAGCAAGTATGACTGCAGGTATATCACTAACTGATGAGAGGACTGCTTTCTGGGTATACATGAAAGGTAGTTCTAGGACAGTGCCTTTATCTAAAAAATGTCTGCATATGGGCATCTTCAGTGAATAGGATCCTTTGCTATCTCTCCACTAGCTCCTCTGAGACTCAGTGACACATGAGAACATATGAAAGCCATTTAGCCTAGTTTTTTCATCTATGAAACAGTTTATTCTAAAAAAGAAACAAGAAATAAATATGTCTTTGAACAATGGAATTAGGGATAATTTTTTAATTTTTATTGTCTTGAAGTCTGGTATAAACGTAGTATTTCTTTTATTATCATGAAATTCAAGTTTGAGAAATACTGCATGATATGCATGTCAGGTCCAGGCTGGTCCACATTCTAAGAGATGGATACCTGACAGTTATCATGGGAATCATCTACTTCAATTATTTACATGTTAGTCGTACAGTCTTTCTCAGAATTTTGGTCTCCCTTCCTGTTTATGGTTAAACCACATTATATAGTCAGGATTAAGAGTCTCAGTCTGGAGGGCCACACACTTTGTCGGTTATATAACCTTAAAAGTTAAATGTCTTTCTATGGGCTAAGAATACCTAAAAATAAACAAAAAGTTAAAAATTTGTTTTTGAAGTCTTCCCATGATTTAGTCTTTCTATGTTAGTTAACTTGGGTACCTCCAGCATCAAATCTTGATTGCAGAATTGTTTTTATCTGTGTTTTTTTCTGTCTGCAGATCAAATTTCCATAGTCAAGAAGATGGTACATAATATACCATTTCTATAAAATATTCTTTTAGGCAACCTATATGAATACAGAATTTCTCACTAAAATTGTTTTAATATTCTTAACTATAAAGATTGATTCAGTATGTTTCATAATGTCAAATAAAAAAGTAATTGAACAAAGAACTCTACACATCTGGTAGCTGGTCAGGAAAAGCAGTGATTTCCATGTGTATTAACCATATGGTTCCACACTCTTCATAGGACAGACAGACATGGACCTTGAACTGGTTTAATTCAGAATATATTTAATACTGAAATCAGTTTAGTCAAAAAACCCCACAGTTCATCTCTTTATTTTTATTTATCTGTCTTGTCTTCAACACACACAAATGGTTGACTTATATAAAATATATTTAATATGAC